TTTACATATCACATGGGCGGCCGTAGCGGAAGGCTCGTTTCATATCAAATTCTTTATTTTTGTAATATATTAAATATGATTTGAACATCAAAATTAGACTTTCTATTTATTAACGTGTATAGCATATATATATATATATATAACCATACAATGATACAAACTAAACTATATTTTCGAACACAACATGTGATTAAAGCTAAATACAGGCGTGTAACACAGGATTATAGACTAATTATGTAATAACATTACAAAACGTCATGTTAAAATAATTTCTTTTTCTTACATTGTATATGATTGGATAAAAACTGTTTGTAACTAAGAACATTTCATGATGAACACAACTTTTCTTGCGTCATCTAAAATGTTACATATTGATATAACTAGAGCCTTTTTAAAATGTGCAGTCTAAGTCCTGCTTATCTATCATACACCACATCAAATTGGTAAACATCCTCTATACAATTTATTTTACATATTTGACAAATGCGTTGTTTCATATAAATCACAAGTCTTGACTATCTGCCCGTTTCCATGATAAAGGGAAAGAACCACACCTAACTTTATAAAACATAGGTTTATTTTTCTGTTTTACAGATTAAACATATCGACATGTTTCTAGATCAAATTTAAAAGTAAGATAGATTGTAAGCCTTTTGCCATTATTTGCATTATCGCCCTCATCTCAAACAGCTCTATGCCATTCTTCCCTGTCAAACATGTATAGCTTTTCATTTACAGCTTCCATTCTCTATTTTATGGTATAGTTTTCCTAAATCTCAGTTGCGACCCGAAAGTCCCAAGATGTTCCAAGTTTCCTGGAGTTCTATTCTTTCTGTGCAAGTTTATACACAGTTATGATAAGTAATAGCTGTACCAGTTATATCGTCTTGTTGACAGAATAAGAATTCCAACCCGTGTCATCTCTTATTGGTTGAATTCTTTTTTAAATGAAATGAACAATACAAAAACAAAACAAAAATGCTTTTAAATTGTATTTTTTTTTCGTTATTTTTACATTACATAGAGGTCATTTTCCGACATTTGAAGGCATATGTCGGAGATAAACTGTCATGTTTTACAGTATTACATGTATGAAATTGTAAGAAGTCTGTTGAAATATGGATATTATCCTGTTTGTTGAAAGATTATATTCACAGGTGAATGTGTAGCCCGGATGAAGTGCAGCTGAAAAACACAGAGGCAGAACATTGTGATTGAACGCTGAAAAAAAAGAATACAGGAACTATATAATAGTACCTGTCATCATATTAATATTCCACATATTAATATTCCTATTGCTATTTATTAAAGCTCATTCCATGTACAAAATAATAACCCAGTGTTGTATTAATCCTCACCAATATGGAGCCAGGACACTATTATACAATAAAACTGTATGGGTACCGATTACGTCATAACCATGCTACTCGATAATGGCGGAAGCCAGATTTCAGTGCATCGAGCAGGCCGTCGAATAAATTGTCATTAACTACAAAACCATCGTACCAGAACTCCAAATAACTACTCATTTCAACGGACCGATATACCTAACAAACACCTGGCAACCCATATTGTTGATATTTGAGTTAATCCATGTAAACATAACTGAAAAACACACAGTTTATTTGTTTGAACGTTGAAAGGACGTTCAACATCCAGGTATTTATAACCTCCCCTGTCGGCTAAGGTAGCAGTCCACCAAAAAACCCCAGAGTAATAAACACAAAAGGTACCCCTAATAACACTGCTATCTCTACATGTCACAAATGCACCCGAAAATGGGTCTGAACTATTGTTTAACTGAAGGGAGGGTACATGTACGTAAAACAGTTAGTTAAACAAATTTGAAAAAGATTTAGGAGAACTAGCTAATTTCAAATCAATAATGAGTTAAGTGAGTATCTTTAGCACCATCCCACTACTGACTGAAAAGAGATAGATGTGGCTTAGATATATGTTTGCCTATCAAGACTACGGTACAGCTCGGGGACTGCGAAATCCACCAGCTCAGTCTTCCACAAAACATAAGTTACAACGTATCTGTCTTCTTCATTGATGTTGATTTATTGGGAAGTTTCTGCCAAGATTTGTAGAAATTATGAAATCTGCAATTATTCAAGGAGTGTAATACCTATACTTTAACAAACAGGTTACACACCAATTTGATTCAGGTCAACTCAAATGTTTGAACATGCATTTGGTCTCTTTTAATGTATTTAATTATTTATGCATTCCTGTCATTTGTTAAGTAAGTAATAGAATATGCTTGGAATTGAATTGTTTGCCTTATTAGCTAACCATAATCCGATGTTGGCTGTTCAAATATTTGTTTCTCCATCTTTCCGTACTTCAACCGCATCTGCCTATCGTTATATCCCAAGCGTATTGGACAAATCTTTCTTTAAATGGTTGTCTGTCGGATTTGGCAATAACAGTTGATTCCGACTGGCAATCCCTCTTGATTTTTTTTTTCACACGTTACGATTCTAGTCAATATGTCAAAGGACAAGCCACTTTGAAAATAAAATCTCAGACACAGCAACATAAAGTATGATCAAATGTCACCAAATTACTCATTTATTTTTTTACAAGACTATCAATGCAAACGATAAAACTTGCATAGGACGAATGGGGAACTTACAATGATGAGTGCCAATATCCCTGAAGGATAATATTTCATGTGTTAAGTACATCGTTCCTTTCTCAAAATTAATTGTAAGCTATCATGAAGTATGTCATCAAGAAATAGAAAATCGAATCGAAAAAAATTATCACTTGTTGGTAGACAAACATGTAGTCCGAATTATTCTGACGTTTTATCGACTTTCTGCATATCGGTCTGTCGTCGATTAACGTCAGAACTCCGGCCCTCTATGATATGCGGGAAATATGCGCCCCGCGCCCGGAGCGCACTTCAAACTGATATTTTAGAAACAAATCGTCACTTTCACACACATGTCGCACATGGATCGAAAGAATAACTCGGACTAACAAACATGGTGAGTGAAAAATATGTCGCTGCCATGAAAACAAAAAAAACATGTGTCCAATTTAATCCAATGGCAATGGAAAAAAAAACAAAAAATGAAAAAGGGTAATATATTATAAATCATCTCTAAGTGTTGTGTGCAGTTCGTGTCCATTAGCGTGGTGTTGGTTTCTTTTTTAACACTTGGCGAGTCTATTGTCGGGCTTGTGTTTTTGATATTCAAATTCTACGAACAAAACATAAGAACTATTTCGCCCCTTTTAAACACCAACACTACATCACGATAAGAGAGACTCAAACTGCTTATTTAATCACACATTGACAAGTAATTCTCATAGACACGTTCATATCAACATCCTGTTTTGTTTACTTAACACCATAAAAGGAATAAGATGAATAAAATAAAATTCAATCGATAATAAACTATCGCGATAACGTAAATGACGCATACATCCCAATTCTGTGTCATGGTTTTACAAGTTGATAAATGCCTCTGTGATGTCCTGACGATGCACCTGGTGACACAAAGAAGTAATGTGGGGTGATAGACATAGTGGCCTTGATTTCCTATCGCTGGTCTAGATATATATTTACCTAACCAGTGCAACGACTTCCGGTCTTTATGCGCATCTCTTTATAGCGGACCTTTCTAGATAAACATCTACCTCGTGATATCAGTAACATACACCCCTATATCTCCCGTGTCCAAAACTACGTTTCAGAAGTCGGGTAAGTGGGACATTAACATAACTATTTTAAAATAATTTTTCGTTTGATATCAATGTCATGATTGTTATGATTAAATGCTATAGCGTTTCTGCCATAATTCTTCAAGAATGGGTTATCAAATGTTGGCTAAGATAAGTCATAATATCATCACGTTTTGATTTATTGCTGGTCTGATTTGAAATCTTCTTAACCCAAGGCTTCCTCTCTCGATTAGCACACTGTTCTGTGCAGGAAAAGTGTTTGTATGAACAAGAGGGACCCCTTGGATTGATAGGATGCATTTTTAGTTTTAGTGAAAATTGAATGAAACTGAAATCTATATATTTTGTTGGGGGGGGGGGGGGGGGGGGGGGGATCTTCTCCATTTTTATGTACATTTCCGTGCATGTCATCCCCCAATTCATATATAAACATTATTTAATATTAGATAAAGGAAAATTAGACTTGAGAATCTATCAATATTTGTATAAGATAATGATGGGGTATGAATAGCTGTTATATTTTGGATATGCCATTTGTTTTGATGCTTTAAATGATAAGGGGTATGTAAATTGAAACGTCACACATTTCAGACTGTTTAAGATAGCCAATATATGACTTTAATATTACAACGCTTACTTCAGTTGACTATGTGTATCATTATGTGTTATGTGTATTATAGTCACGATATATGTTGGTTCTATACAAAATGTGATGTTACTAGCAAATCGGAAAGTACAAAAACATCGTAAATATTTCCTGGATGCTGTCCTACATACAGGTCTGTTTATAGTTCAATAAATTAAAAAAAACCACCATTTATATACTAAATTCTTGTTTTGACACAGTAACTTATATTTGAATTCGTAATTATTTTCCAAAACTATATATTTTTATAGATTAAACGGCAAACACGTGTTCGGTTATAATGTCACACTATGATAATGTCACGATCACAACACTAGAAGTACATGTACATAATTACTGTATGTATATAACTCAGATGTCGGTTTAAATGATATTTTGTCTGGAGACTACGACGAATAGACCCCACGAACATATCTGATTTCACAGTAAACGGACGAGTCTTCTGCCACATTTATTCCGGATGACCATTTGATTAGGCATACTGTACGTACAGTTTGGGTAACATGTAAAAGACATATATCAGCAATGAATAAGTCAAAACAAACCACGAAATGTGTGTTTTTAAGGTTACGTATCCCAGTGGAAACTACAACAATGGAGCACTTGAAAGAAGCTAGCGATTTCAAAAACTTTGACCCAGAATGGTACATGCATAATTTGATTGCATCAGATGAAGCTGCTGACAACATGAGGTGTGATTTCGATGTCCTTCACAAGTTCTTTAATGAATGTAAGTGAAAATGTGAAAAACAGCATACCCAAATGAATTAAACTGCGCTATACGGGTTTTCTAGAACTCACTGGTTCCTTCAATGATTGTAGGTCGAAATGACAGACGAATGTAAAACTCCCAGGTTCATTGGTAATTTGGTAATACAAACAGCAAGTAAAAAAAAAAATTCTTCGCCTAACAGGTGTTCCGGAATTCTAGGTAACATCGGTAATGCTGGAGGACAAACAGGTGGAGAATTCCAAATCTGCCTCACCTGTATTGCACGTTGTGTTAGTGTTGTATTTTATGGAACGAGGGTCTCGAATAAAGGGATTGCAAAATTCACCTGTTCATGCATGGGTAAAGTAAATATATACAAATACAACCGTACGTCTCAAGCAATGTGGCAGTTGGTAGTTATTTTAGTAATGCTACGATTGATTACATTTAATTATCAAAACTATTCTGTCACTATCTGAAGAATTGTCTTTCAATTTTGATATAAATAGAGCGTTTGGACGTCTTAAAAATCTAATAACTTTATTTTCTAATATTGTAGAAATCACAAGGAAATAAATGTTTAAAACATTTGTCTATATACTAGTTCATTTTGTATGTACTTGTAGAACCTAATGCCTCACCAAATCATTCAAATGGTTTATCTGCGATACGTCAATATTGTATGGTTATTAACTAATGAAAAGCGTCGTTATATTGCAGACGTAGTAAAATATATACAATATAATACGCCTTAAATGCTCATATGATAATATGTCTATCCCTGCATGCCAAATTTATCTGTAGCGATTCGTGATGCTGCGTGTAGATTAGTAATTGCCGTCGAAATACAAAATTACATTCGCGCTGACATTAGTGCAATATAATAATCCCCTTTGTTACACGTCCTTAATATAAGGTTTTACAAGTATGCAAAATCTGCAAACTATCCAATATAAATTATACAGACTCTGTCGTGTTTTGATTGCAGACAACGTGTGCGGTAAGCGATTATTGGACGTTGGTACCGGTCCGACAATTCATACTGTGATCTCAGCAAGCAGTCACGTGGACGAGATCTTTCTCTCTGACTACACTCCACAGAATCTTCAGTATCTAGAGAAGTGGCATAAAGGGGAGATAAGTCAACCAGCAAAAGTGATCGACTACGTGCTAAGCCTGGAGGGAGGAACGTAAGTTTAATGATATACAAAGTATCTACCGCTAAATTGTCCTACATATAGTACACAATGTACAAATTCCGAAACGTCATCAAAACCGTTATTCGAAATCAAAATCGATAAACTAGGGAAAACTATGAACGAAGGGGTGTTTTTTTATTGATACTCAAAAAGTACGAGGACATAGATGTAAAGACCAGGTGATCTGGAATGTTACGGAAGGTACCCAGCATGTGCATACAAGTCTAAATTAAGTCAAAGTAATGTCACGCCATCAAAAAGGGACCCTGGAGTGAAAACGAAACAGCAAAGCACATCCCCCATATAGAATACCACCTAAACGTGTACCCTCGTAGTCACCAATCCAGGTAATACGTTCATGCAAATCAAGGTTACTGGCTGATTGTGTATATTCCTACGTCACACGTCCTGTCTGGTAAAACATAATTTCGATTCTTCATTTGTTTTCAGTTTTTAAGTAATGTAATATCTACTACAATGTCACATTACACTGATCCGTAATACCTCTTTATGCAAGACTAATGAACCATTCCTTCTTTGCGTATTGCAGAGGTATTTTCTCTTGTGAGCAGGTATTGATTGTTACATCATTGGTTTGAGTGATAAAATTACGTCGTTTGCTCAAAAATGGATGACGTTACTCTCACAAACAAATGACGTAATAATCAAAACTTGGTAGCAAGACCAGATAACTCTGCAATACGAAAAGACGAAATAAGCGACGTTTGTGCATGAGTTTACCTCACGAAAGGAATGTGATTTCTAAAATACTTACTGTCTTTCCGTGTTCAGAAACGTTTCATTTCGAATTTCGGTACATATATAACAACTACTGTACATGCGCTTACAGCGTAGCCGAATCGAAATCGATTTTATGGACAACTCGTACACATTTTACACCTTTGTGTGTATACGCTTCACTGGTCATTTGTCTGATGAAGTAGACGGAGTACATATCGTACTAGTCGTTGAAACATCACATAGAAAATCTTATTGGTTGTGTAAAAAGAAATTGTCATATACATACATGTACTTACCAACCTGAAGAAAATGTTAAGAAATAACTTCCTTTAATCAAAACTGCGCTCTTTTGCAACTTAAAACGATTTTTTCTGTGTTGAATTGTCTAAGAATACTAACATTGCACTTTATATTTGTAACAATTCGCGATCATTTACGGTCAGTGCCAAGCGTTTATAAATAAATATGTTTATGTTTGGCTGAAATAGCCACATTTGTAACTTTTACATTATAATAGTCAATATAATTGATATCATATGCTTTAAGATTTGCCGATGCTTTGGAAAATAGTTTATTTTGTACATTGTTTGCATCAAACCATATAACTATGACGAAATAATTTTAGCGTATGCTTTTAATATATTATGAAGATTGTAATTTGATTTCATCAATGGCTTGCTATTATTGATGGACGACTGTGTTGGAGAAATCAACCTCGATACTCCATGGGTTACACTCACTTTCGCTTTCTGCACCCCTGGAATATGTCATAACAAAATCAATGGCTCAGTGTGTGCCACCTTTTGGATGATACAGGTAGACTAGGTTAATACTTATATGTACATTTCCAGAATCTCGCGGTCGCGTGAGGGTACAATTGGCAGGCGGGTGTCGCTTCTCTGACATCTTCACATGACAGGCACCAGCCCAGCGATTAGTCAGTGATTTTTGCACCAGACACTGATCACATAGCTAGCCATGTGCCTTTAATTCTGCTGTGACATATTCGCAGAAGAGAAAGTTTGCGCCAGTCCTGGAGTATCGAGGATGTGAGGAATTAAGAAATGATATAAATGGCATGTTCTTGTTTTACGTGTAGGAGGACTGCAAGCGAAGTAGAAAGTGAAATAAGGAAAAAGGTTCAAGGAATCTTACCAATAGACGTGACGTCTGCTCAACCTCTTGGGAACTTCAATGGCGATACACAATTTGACATCATAGTATCCAGTTACTGTATTGAAACAGCAGCGTTCACTGTCGAGGAGTACAGAAAATGTCTTGTAAATATATCCTCCCTTCTCAAGAAAGGGGGGTATCTGATCCTGTTTGTTTGTTTGAACGGTGACAGTTATCAAATGGGAGACTATAGATACCGCGCTCTTTCTATAACAAAGGACGAGATACAATCAACAGTACACAAAGCCGGATTTGACATCAAAGTCAACTTTGAAATAGAGGGGGGTGATGTTGATGCCCAATACCTTAGTTTTGACTCTTATTATTATATGCTTGCTACGAAATAACACTGCCGTATTCTGTTTGCAACATTTGAAAAAATACATTGCAAACTTTTCTGGTGTTAATAAATATATCTAATAAGTATTACTTATTGTTGTGTTTATAAATTGTTATTTTAGATGCTATATTAATTACTATATGTTGTCCTCATATTTATCCTTATAGATGTCATAAAAAGTTAGTAAATGCTGTCCTTATTATCTCAGTAAGAAGATGTTGTCTATAGATAACCATTATAGATGTGTGATAATTGAGTAAGGTTGTCTTTATAAATTGTCATTATAGATACTGTCATATTCACATTATAATTAACATACAGTATATGCTACTTTGTATACTAATTACATGTACTTCATGTTGTCATTATTAGTCCCCAATCGGTTCCTGATGGAACTATAGGTTTGAACTCCGTCCGTCCGTCCGTCCGTCCGTCCGTCCGTCCGTCGTTCCATCCTTCTGACATTCCGTCTGTCCGTCCGAGAAGTTTGTCCGGGACATATCTTCTTTATTATTTCACCTGGAACAACCAGATGCCGTGAACAAAGACATCTTCGGATGACGGAGTGCAGAGTGTAAGAAAAAGGTCACTGTTACCCCACTGTGACCTACACTGTATGCTTTGACATTTACTTTTGAAAAAGTTTGTCCAGGGCATATCTTCTATACTATTTCACCTGAAGTAACCATATTTGGTGTACAAGGACATCTTGGGATGGCGGAGTGCAGAGTTTAAGAATTAGGTTACTGTGACCTATGACACGACCTTTGGCCTTTAATTCTTATATTCTGGGCATATCTTCTGTACCTTTTCACATGGAGTAACGAAATGGTGTTCAAGGACATCTTAGGAAGTCGGAGTTCGAGAAGTTGGTCACTATGACCTCACTATGACCTATGCTTCCTGCCATTAATGTACTGTTTGTTAAATATATAAATCATCATCGGTGGGGGACTATGGATTGCCTTACAATGCTTAACCTAGTTGGTGTTATTATAAAAGACACAGTCTGTATTAAAGGCGATCTCTAGTTGAGGTGAGGTAAGTGTCTCGAAAGTCTGTGTTAAAAAAAAAAGGTTTCTATAACAAGAGCTATGTAGTTTATTTTGTTATCCGGAATGGGATTCATCAGTTTGGTACTGATGAAAAAAGATAAGTTTCTTTTGAAACCGCTGAAAACAAATCACAAAGCAACGAAGTGCCGAGTCCGAGAATTAAGACTGCTCTAAGGTTGATTTCATGGACGGAGGGCGAAAGATTAACTTGGCGAAAATTTATCGATACACAGTAATCTTATCTTTCGTTGATAAATTTTGTATGATTAAATCATCACCCGTCTTCTATACCACTTATAGAAATTATAATGGATATATATATATATGAGGTTCCTTCTCTAAAGAACCTTTTAAAAAAGCATGTTTCATGCAATTATCATTTAAATAATAATAATATACAACATTTTAAATAGAGCCCTATCTAGCTAGCATACGTCACTCTAAAGCGCTTTACAGTACATAGATATACATTAAATACAATTAGCATATATATTAATCAATAATTATTTTTTAGGAATTCACAGGAGCTGCCTTATCAGGCGCTAACTAATAGTCCTATGCCACCTGGCTAATATCTCCCTATGTGTGTATGCCTGCGTGTGTGTTGTGGTAATGTGTTCTGTTTATAGTGGGACCGTGCTTCCAACATCATTTATAGTGCCAATTCACTTGAATGCTACAGCACAGATACCGCAACATCCACCCCAGACCAATTTATACTCCACCTGAGTTGTTGGAGTTGTGTGGACAGGAGAAAAACACTTTCTCTGAATATCCATGTTCTTTCATATCATCTATGCATTTCCTAAAAGTAATCTGCCAATAAAATAATTTATTTTTAAGTTTTATTCAGTTCTTTATTACTTACACCGTATATGCATATCGAAGCTCATCTTCTCTAATGCATTAACATCAAGAGCTTAAAGTGCTGTGTCTTCCGCTAATAAAAGGATAGAATTTATACTCTCATCATTTATTTGTAAACCACAATTAAACGCTTTGATATCAGTAAGTTATAATTACTATACATTGCAAAATGTCAAACAACTCTCACATGTGAAGCTATGTATGTGGTACATTTTAATTACACAAAGGTAACTTCATTAAGTTCGTTAGTCTGGCCCCTGTCTCTAGATTCTTTAATTATTTAGAACAGAAAATAACTTCTATCAATTTTCATCACTTGGATCACTGAAATCCCTGGAAAGGGGACATAAGCCGATAGAAAAATACTGCTGGGAAATTCTTCATAAAAACCTATGGACTGGTAGCTGGTCTATGATAAATGTATATAAATGAATAATCTTTATTTCCCGTCGTGTGCATTGTCAACAACACACATAAGCTCTGTAGAGTGTTAATAACGACGCCGCTAAGGGAACAAATGTTATTTCCGTGATGGTGGAAAACCACCGTGCCATCGGAGGGATAACAACTACAAAATGTAACCCTATCAGACATCTCTGTCTTTTGCCGCCACCGCTGGGGATCGAACCGAAATGTTTGGGAAGGTGAGTAGTTTCGCTCTTGATTGAACACAGTAGTAATGTCTGTGCGCGAAAGCGATCACGGCTACCAGACTATGTTAGTTCATATGCAAACGAAAAATATGTTTTGAAAAACAATTGCTTTATAGGACTAACAGTTAGAAATTGCATGCCACTCATTAGCTCAAAACCAACGCGATCTTTATACTTAATCATTAAAGAAACATGATATATGAAACAATCTTTTATGAAAAATGCAGATAATACCCTTGGTTTCTCGAATATAATATTTGATGTTTTGCGAATATTTTTTATATCTTTTCGAAAATGTTAATTAAAAAGAAAGGATGAGTGTCTATAAGGCCCTTCTTTGGGCCCCGGTATTTTAAGATTTTCACCTCTTTCATTTTTTCAAAGTAGTCCTAGTGTATTACATGCTGAAAGACTAAGATAAATCTTTGACCGAAAATGATTTTTTTCGGCTACCAAAAGGGGTAGGATAAATGTGTCAAAATGTGCTTAAAAACCAAAATAATACCATTTCTGGTTTTGAAACATGTGCAAATTAAACAGGCATATATAAAAGAATGAAAAAATACAGAAAATCAATCGTCACTTAAAGATTGTTATATATAAAATGGAGGATTAAGTCAGGGGGATGTTTTAGGAAATGTTCAAATGCAAAGTGTTTTGTTTCTCAATAATTTCCTTTCTAATTTATATTTTGAGTTGAAAATTACAACTTTATATATTTGAGTACTCTTACATAAAATACATATTCATTACACACTTTCCTTTTGTTTTATACTGAGTTATGGCTTCTGGACACACCTCAAACTTGTGATTAAGGGAACCCTTACAAAAAGAACACGGTTTGTGTTTGAGACAACCAATACATTTACATTTTTTTTTTTTCTAATTTGAGACGACCGATAAGGACACAGCTTGTGATCGAGACAACCACTGTAGTGGACATAGTGGACATATTGTCACTATCCCTCAGCTATAGCTGTCAATATTGGTTACGATCAATGGTAACAGATTTAAATAAGTGTATTAACACTTGTTTCTGTCTCCGAATCACGTGTGTATTATGTATTATGTATTACATATGTTATGTGAATAAAACCAAATTTAAACAGTTTTAACATCTTTTCTGATTTTATTACTGTTATGGCAATCTTTACATCAAAGACGAACAGCAAAAAGAGATTGTGGTAAACGTGAAAATGTCTGCAACCAAGCGGTTGGAATGATTCAGGATGTTGTTGACCAAAATGTTGTTGCAAGACCATTTGGGTCAATTGGCATATATTATTCATGTCTCTTAAGGACGTTTCAAACAGACTGGTTAGTTACACCCCGGGACCGTCCCAGGTCAGGACGTCCTAGTGTGACGTCATTACGTCAGGACAATTACATTTGGGTGGTTGTATACTTGCGGAGTCACCTCCAAACTGCAACTTTGACGTCGAGAAACAGTCCAAGAACTGTGAGAACACGCCTGCATGAACGTTACTTTCGTCGACAATGTCCAGCTATCCGCCCCGTCCTGCAACGACGTCATCATGTTGCACGTCTTTAATAGACGAGATTTCCTGACACAGCAGAATGTAAGCGTGTTGCCATGGACAGCGGTATCACTTGACGTTTTGTCCCTCAAGGACGTTTGGGACAGGACATAACGTCAGACATTGGTATAGAACACAGCTATTGTCGATATAAACCGAAACAAAACAAAAATTAAAACGACATGGAGTTTGAAGACAAATACAGCATGCATTTTATTTTCTATCAATGTTTTGTTTCGAAAATTGTTAGTTTCTATTGCCGACGTGAACATTGAATAAGTTTGGTTTGCCAATAGCGATTGATACCAAATCCTCAATATAGACAATTAAGATTAACATGATTCAATGCAGTGTGCAATGTGGTAATTCAAGCGTAATTATTTCGAGAAATATTTGCCAAGTATGGCTATTCAAGGTTTTTCGACTCCACTGTGATCACACGATTCCAAAACCGAAAGGAACTACTTTTTCAACATTCCGTTTCTGGAAATTTCAACTTTAATCTACAAACAGCCAACAACCCAAGTAATAAATATATTTTGGACATTTGACATATTTGTCATTAAAACCTGTTTTTGGATCATAAACGGCTTTTCTATTATTAAAAAATCAAGTAATCTTTACGCACGCATGATGACTTTTTCTGTTATGAGACCGCGGAAAAATATAAGTCTCTTCCACCGCAAATACGTTTTAGATTTTTCTTGACGGATATATTGAATATATGTGGGGGGTTTTCATATCATATAAAGATTTATTTGATTGATATTCGTTGTAAATAAAGAAATCATGAAATCATTGATTGATGCCTGCCTTCATTTAAATGTTCGTTTGAATTGAATGCGCATGTACATGTAGCTCAATGGTATACATTTGTCTCCGATAGTTGCCGTCTGTCAATAACTACAATGTCAGCTTTCGACAGAGAAAAACCCTGCCTAGTTTAGGCAACAGGATATTCAGGAAATATTATTTGTTATTGTGAACAGATATAACAACAGTGTTATATTTTGCAGCCAGAGTTGAGGGCGTACTGCAAATTATAACACTTACATATTTAACATATTTATGGTTTGTCCTTGAGAAATTATAGTGTCAAATATTACTATTTAGTCCGAGCTAAAACATAACTACACTAGTTATAAGGTGATATAAATATAGAACCATACTGATTAGCATGACAGATATTACAATAATAGAGTCACGTCCAATCACACACACTGTTTGGCTGCCCAATTACAATAACAATGGCGTACTTCCTTTCCTAAATTTTGTACAGTGTGCTAAACATACTGTAATACTGCTTACCAGGTGGCGAGTTGCCGATAAAAATAGCCTTGTAAAACCATAAACCTCAATCTTGTAATGTCATGACATTTTGAATTTAATTTTTGACATTTGATAATTGGTGAATAACATCATGATATGCAGTAGTGGGTCGTATATAAATGTAGGAGCGGGTTGGGAACCTAGTACGCCAAGTATACAACCGACTGCTTGCACCTGAAAACTGACGGGACACTATGTCGGTAGATGTATGGACCGCCATCTGTTGTTTACTTATGGCGAATGGTAAGTAAAACATTGTTTACGACATTGCATTCGGAATTGGACAAAATATCTAGAAAAATGTCGTTGTCAAACCATTAAATTTGCATCTCTTATAATTAAAATTGTAAATATCCATAAATTGTGTAATGATCCTGGCACATTTAGGTATTAGAGTAAGTGAACGTAACGAAATACTACGTGGGCATGGATTTACTTTAGAAACCCCATCCTGGCGGTCTGGTTATGCGTCTAGTGAAAAAACTGTGAAATAAGGCAAATCATTTGATAACTTTCATGCAGATGGGCGAAGAGACTCATTTCTTAAATGAAAGACTCCGCAAATTCTAAAAGTATAGGTATTATTTTCAACATTGAAATATCATCTTCTAAATAACAAATTCAGTATTATCATGTCTAAAAATGTGGTGTCTTAAAACAAATCTTGGCTACCGATACAATGTACCATTATCTGAAAGGAATAGTGCGCTTATTATTATATTACTTAAGAGTTCAAGATGTATGTCATGTTGTTGTTTTTATTCTTTAATCTCAATGCATACTTTATATTACTTATAATTCCTCTACATGTAATATACATAATGTACATATTCACGTAAATTCACGTTAAGCATTTATTCGAATTCTTGTATCATGACAACATCCTTTTAAACATTATGTGAAACATTTACTTTGAAGAAACCTCGGTTTAATATATTGGAACAGAGTATTCATGTTACACCATGGCCAGTACATTACTGTAAGGTTGTCATATTTGAGTGACAAACAGTGTTGTTGGATATTTAATTCCGCAGGGATGACATATTCTCAATTTTACGGACCATTAACGGGATTGCAAAAAAAAGTATAACAGTTTGTGGTAATAGTATAAAAATAAGCCGCAATAGCTAACTGTCGTCACGAAATAACAAGCATGCGTCCATGAAGATTCGTATTTTTAAATATCTGATATTTAATCAAAGTTGAGTACATACGTCACATGTAAATACAAAAATGCAGTTTACAAGTGTTTATCTCAATTTAAATCTCTCTATATTATGGCGTCTGAATGCGAGCTTGTGCATTCCATTGTCATAATCACGAGGGCATAATTGGACAACTGATATTTCATAACCTTTGACGAATTCATGATGAACAGGACGTTGATTGCATGGTGGTGCTTTTTCATATTTTAATGGTCCTCTGTGTGTTTCGTTGATATTGGTTATACATTTAGATAACGAAGAATTTTTCAAATTATCTACATGTTTTCTTACTCGAAAACCTGTTAATGGTGTTAGTTTTATTTCGTTTAGAAATGTCACATAAACAGGAGAACCCATTTAAAGTGGGACACCACAAAAAGGAGATTTCGATGGGTGGGAAGAATTATCATATGGCTTCTATTAAAAGTTCCTGTCTTATTGGGAAACTGAGTAATGCATTTATGATACGACAATTAGAATATATGATGTCGTTTAAACAATGTCCCTTCCTGAAAGCAAATCAAATGGTATCAGCACGAATATGAAAGCTTAATATAACATAAGCTTATTAAGTATTAAATAACATAAACGTTAGACAATTGTAATTAAGAATCCCCGTACCGCTGCTGAAAAGTGTAGCTACACTGTATGCATTGGAAACTGATGGTTGGTTGGGTGGCGCAGTGGATAGTATATGTACTTGCCTTTCACCAAGACAGACGGGGTTCGATACCGCGATCTGACGTGAAAAGGTACTCCGCGGTTTCTTCCCACATAAAGACTGAATTGATTGAATTACATGTATCTAGTGCTACTTAATAAAATAGATAGGATCAGTTATAGCAATACGCAGTATCCGGTAAGAACGTGTAAATATGTACTAGACTATTTAAGTATCCGCACAAAGGACATTGTAAAGGACAGCCCTATAACAGGTATGGTCATTAAAGGCTGACCCAGGTTTAAAGTGATGGCGGAAAACAAGTATGCCCGCGGGAAAACCACCGACTTGCGGCCAGTGACTGCCTCGAACCCGCGACTCAGTGGTCGAGGGCAAGTGATCGAAGACGGTCAGATGCCTTAACCTCTCGGCCACCGCGACCCTCTTCCCTCCCTATTTGAAAGAAGATTCAAGATATTGTCATCTTTTTGTCAGTCATATTTAGATTTTTAAGAGCTTTTGATAACATACGTCATCGTGTCATTTCTTTAGTTGGACAGGGATCCACGGTGTCATCGTCGGTGTGTGACTCTTACCGAGCTATACAACAGCTCCCGTGTCTTGAAATGAGGGCGCCGACTCCAAAGGAACGCGAACGATTATTTAGCGGTGATTATTTAACCAAAGAAGGAGTGGAGGTTTTCCTTGGTGTTTGGTGTAGGTATGTACTGTATATTTAAATAAGATTTTACATGAATGGTTGTCAGGGCCGCTTTCATTCATTGCGACCAAACGGTTGGACTTGAGTTGTTCGTTTATGAAACAGTATAAGGTCGGACCTAGTAATTTGATGCTGCTTTATAGCGAGCCTTTACAAATCTTTGCAAAGCCTTCATAAACAGTTGAAGGTCCGCCAGGATTAATACCTGATAATTGTATAACAAAAAGCAGACTGACCGGTTGTTCAGCACAAACAAACGTGTATGTGTTTTAATTAGACATTACATGTGTTTGATTTTTGACATGACCCGAAAGCACGTTAACTTTCTTATGTTTTGACCTGCACTTATGTGAAGGGAGTAAATTCAGCTTTCGATAAAAATGACACCCCCAGTAGATGGTATAAGAGAAAGAGGAGGAAAACTCCCGATGTCGGGAAATTGATCCAATTTGAACTCCTCGCCCAGTAACCTACAGTACAGTACCCTTCTTCCTAGTCCGAATTATTCTGACGTTTTATCGACATTTTTCATATCGGTCTGTCGTCGATTAACGTCAGATCTCCGGCCCTCTATAATATGCGGGAAATTTGCGACCCGTGCCCGGAGCGCACTTCAAACTGATATTTTAGAAACAAATCGTCACTTTCACACACATGTCGCACATGGATCGAAAGATATGTTCTTCCATTCACTCAGTTCTTGATGCAAGGTGGGTCACCAGCACAGATTTAACAGGAGAAGAAAATTATACGCCCAGACCGGGATTCGAACCCGTGATTTCGAGAACTCTAGAAAGTCGCTCTACCAACCGACCAACCTGGTCGTCGGCGAACGGCCATCTAAGTTACGCTACACAATCAGATTGTTGCATTTTCTGTGTCTATTTCCAGTTCCAAAGCTTAGGTCCCTCTATCCGTCCTCGTGATCCCCTTCTGTCTTTCCCAGAGAGAGTAAATTGCTGCTATATTATCTTTTATCTTGGATAACTTCTGCCTCGATTTCTGTTGAACTTTCTCCTGTAGCCTGACCTATGCTGGCGTTTGGACTGTAAGCTTAAGCCAGGCCGCCGTTAGGCGAGCTGTGGTAAATCTAACTCTCTAATACATTTACTACGTTATTGTCGTTTTCTAGCTCACTGTTGCGATATGATTCATGTATATCAACCAATACCGAACAGTGTCCGAACCGTGTGGAGTTACAGCAGCTAGGTCAGGAGAACGGAGGACTGTGTACGGCCAATGGCGAAATCGATCAGCAGGTCCAACCATGTAAGTAAAATGTGAGAGGTATAATGGTATTTTTTGTAGAGTCACGGCCATCCTCGATATCCAGGGGTTGCGCTCGCTTTCGCTCTCTGCACCCCTGGAATATGTCATGGAGGATGGGTCACGGCATTACCTGGCTACCCCCAGGCCATAACGGGCTTGCTAAAAGTGCCTAGGGAGTTAACACCAGAAAGAAACAGTTTGTAAAATACAAATGAAAACATAAACTTCCTGCGTATTGCAATGGGGGAAGCAGGCCAATGTTGGCTTCTAAATGTTTCCTAAATGAAAAAATAGGGGTGGGGAACTCCGATGTTGCAGGGGATTCCGTATTGGTCATCTCGTTTGATTGGTCTCATTGGTCCTGTGACGTAGAACCTGTGCTTATAATGTGGCCAAGTCCATTAACCACTGGGGTTCTGACATACTAAACTTATGATAGGATAAGAAAGGAGACAAACACCCACTTGTGACCATTTTACGAACTGTTCATGACAGAGATGGACATCCAGCTACCCGTATAAGGCAATACTTCAGATATTTATATAAATGACCAGATAATTGGAACGTTTACTGATCAGCTAGAATGTGTATTTTCAGTTATAATGTGCTAACTTATGAATGGATGTAGCTGCATACGAAACCTAGATCAAATACTCTTCATTAATTAACTAATTGACTAATTAGTTATGCATAATTACGTAATATGTCGGTGGTCAGGAGGAAAATGTTGCAGTTGGCATAGGAGTAGAAATAGATCTGAGGAACGAAGTGCAAAAACAAGAGCTTAGTCGGGACGAGGGGATAACGAAGATCCTTGTAATGCAAAGAATATAACATGGTAATTGCACTGGGAAGTTATAAGCAAGTCACTTTAGAATTATTAGGAGTTTTTTTTAAATTGAAACCATTATATTAAAGTGGCATTATGACTGAGCAATGCATGTGAGATAGAGTATAACAAACTCGTACCAGTAGTCATACAAATAATTAATGCTTTTGACTATGTATAAATCTCACAAGTGTATGCTAACCATAAAAAATATTAATACATGCCGTGTTCAAACAAGTACCTGTTACTGTATACCGGGAATTGTTCGCCGCAGTTCAACTTTCACTCGTTAAGATGAGGGCGAATTTATCAGGATAGCGAAGGTATGTACACAACTATGTATATAGTCATAACATGTGAGAGGCGAATATAACAGTACTAGGCCAATGTTACTTATTTTTTGCAATGGTTGAAAAATTTGCAGAGCGAAATTTTCCCGGTATACAGTATATGTTACAATATAAGCGTTTTCATAAATTGAACTATCATGATATTTGTACTTAATGTGGTATTCGCACCCTGCTGAAACGTAATCGGTGTTGTCAGATTTGCAGATGTTAGTCCAAGCGGCCATCATGGGAGAATGTGCTCAGTATTGGCGCCGATTCTTTGGCCCGTGCTATCCACGTGGAGGCAGTGAAATGCCAGACAGACCAGATTCGTCAATGACCATCGCACTGGGTAAAGCTTGGTGGACAAGGTACGTATCGTTTTACAGTAATACTGGTAAAAGGTCAAACCCCTCATAGTGGGCATACCGAGGTAAAAACGACAGTATTCGTTTCTATATTAGCATTGTATGTATATTCCACATGAAAGTGTTTTAGTCCTAAGTCCTAAGTCATTCGTGTGATATACAAGTATTCATTCACTATTACTGTAACTATAACTTGTATTAGCTTAATCTGAATACTACTATCTGTGATTATTTTTCTGTGATAATTATTATTGGTTTGTATTGATATATGTGATTATCTCCCTTAACTTGTAATATAATGTGTTGTTAATTACATGTTTGTCGCAATAATAGCTCTCAAGAGCTGATGTTCTTTGTTTAGATGTATGCGATTTTACATAAAGTTTCTTGTATCTTGTATCTTGGGAACACGTGCCATTACATGATAAAGGTCATACGTATAATATATGACATAGCGTGAAAAGCAAAGAATCATATTAAACTAGATGTTCTACTTCTGAGAGAAATATGAGAGTCATCATAGAAAATATAACTGTCTGTAGTATATATTCATAATACAGGTTTAACAGGAATATGGTATACAAAATCTTATACACTTTCCTTTCTGTTTACAGGACACGCACTGACACTATTCGCTGCATTGTAAATAAAGTGGTGCCAACTCCCCCGGACAGCTGTGTTGGGATGTCGGCAAGAGATGCAAAGATCTTTGCAGTACTCGACACTTTGTGGTCGGAGCCGTATGGCGTAGGAGCGCATGTCGACATTTCGGGGTTTATTGATCAGATATAACTCGAGCATACTGTACACTCTTTCAATGATCCTGTATAATGAGAGTTGATATAAATGTTAGTAAGGGTTGAAATTGGTTAAAATATAAAATATTCCTTGTAATTTGCTCTCTGTTACGATTTTGTCTACTGAAGCGTTATTGTCCCCTTCCCTTGCTCCTAATTTCGTTTAAAATTACGAACTAACGACATCATGATAGTACATTTTATCTTTCTGGAACTGTCAGAATTGTCTTTTATATATTACTAGCTCCTGTCGCCTAAAATTGAAATAAAGGTTTATATAGTGAAACATTGATACAATGCCTTTGGTATAATTTGCCATTTTATTTACCGTCAGGACTTTATTTCACGGCCTAGAATATGTCATAGCTGAAGGCTGAGTGTGCACCACCTTGTGAATGAGACGATAGGACTAGTTTGATCATTTGATGTACATCAAACGAATCTGGCGGTCACGTGACAGTAAAAATCGCTCTCTACACCCCTAGACTATGTCACAGCAAAAATGAATGCTGAATGTGCGCCAACCGTAAACATCGACAGGCTTTGAAGTCGGGTGTCACTCCTTTTTACCAATAAAACACCTATCTTCGTGCCTTCGATTTCGCTATAACATATTCCAGGGGTGCAAAGAGCGAGAGTGAGCGTATCCCCTGGGTTATCGAGGATGGTTATTCAATAGAGTTGGCAAATAACCTCACTTACTGTAAAAGTGGTAATATTTGCATGTGGAAATAACCGCGTTGGCAATATAATGGGTCTGAAATCTATCTATTCTATTTATCTATAATATATATAATAACAAAAAATATTCGCGTGTGGATACACTCGCGATGATTTACTTAATGTAAAAACGCAATCATTTCCACACCGCGAAACTTTCTACTTTTACAGTTTGTGACCTTAAACGTAAGTCAAGGTCATATATATGAACAATTTTAATAGTCCTTGATCCAAGTAAGCAACAATCCAACTAGCCTTACTACAAATATGATAAATCTTTAAAAAACCGTAATTGAAACTTTATCAATCATATTGAACACTTGTGGGTGGGAAAATAATCAAGATCATCAACATCTCGGTTGTATTGAAGAAATTGTTTCAATCATTTCACCAATTTGACACGTATGAATTTGAAAGGTCAACGTACTCAATTTTAAACAAACTTGATAGCCATTTATCCCAGTATATTACATGCCAAGCACCATAATCCTATCCCACTTGGCGATTCAGACGGAGCTGATGTTGACATTTGACCCCGGTCGTGTTTAATGTTGAACTTTAGCATCAAAACACTATATGAGTAAAGACTTACACTACATCCCCATATACATGTAACACACCAAAGCATTATGGTTCTTTCCTCATGATTCTTGGTTGAGGATATAATTTTGTTTTTCAACATAAATTCCAGCTCTGTGACCTTAAAGTAGGTCAAAGTTGTTTATATGGGTAACATGATAGTGAGATATTAAGAATACTTATTGGTCATATATCATAACACTTGGCATTATAGAAATGAGGTTTTTAATACTTTTTGATTAAGCTATTAAAATCAGTTTTACAATATTATAAGCCTAGTTGGTTTTGACCAAGTCAAATGCAAATATGTGACCTTTGACCCCCAAACTATACATTAAAAAAAATGTACTTCTGTTCTTACCCCCCCCCCCCCCCCCCCCCCNACACACACACACACACACGTATAAAAGGTTTAGACATTGCTCTTATATTATATTATAGAGGTAATATTGTTTGAAGTATTTAACATATTTATATTTAACCTGTGACCTTGAAAGTAGTACAAGGTCATTTATATGATGAACATTTCAAATACTAATTTCTAGTTACTCACTGACAAAATATCATGACTTCACATTGTTGATTTTTAAGAAATTGTTTAAAAGAGAATAGCTGCTAACTTGTGTCCATGACAGTTTGGTTACCTCACACCCGTTCTTATCCGGGCCAGGAGACATTAAAAATAAAAATTGTCTAACCTGACTGGCCCCTCGATATTTCCAGAAAACAAGCATAGTTACTGTGATTTCATATACAGCAGTACACTATATCATCATATTTTTCAAACTTAGATGCTGAAGACAGAACTAAATAGAATAAATAAATTTTATGCAATTAAATAACTATTTATATAATAAGTAAATGTATCGTTTTGAAATCTTACTAAATGGATCTATTTTGACTCAGAAATAAACACACTGTACCAAATTCTTTGAACGCATTCAATAAAATTGACTAGATGAAAATAATAAGGTGGGTTAGATTGAAAATTTTAGTCAAGTCTTGAGGTTCGAGTGAAGTTTCCCTAGTTTTCGATTTTTAAAAATGCTGGCGTGAAACTCGAAACTTGACTAAAAGTCACTCTCGAAACTGTGCCCCAGTAATATTTCACGGAAAAATACATCTCATGGAAGAAATAACCAAACCCTGTCTGACATTTATATAATCTTATTTTTTATTAACCTTGTCATAAATCATAGACATAAATATTTTTTAATAATGCATCTTATTTCATTATGCAAGTAGTGAAATCTAATACTTAAAATAGCGACTAAAAGATGCCATCATATTCAAATCCTTCAGTCAATAAAGAACATCACAAATCACTACGTCATTAATCTTTATACAACTGAAACATTGTTGATTTAAAGTAACTTCATCTCAACATGCCTCGTCAAATTATAACAAATCTTTAATTAACGTGTTCACAATATATGTATATTGATAATACTTTTAATGAATAAATCTGAATTCCAAATGCCATGCATATTAAATGTTAATCAGGAAAATCTGATATATAGACACTTAAAACAGAAACAGTTGCAAAAATAGGCAACTTGAAAATGTTAACATAACAGACCTGCTCGATTTGAGGTTATCCGGCCAGTGAAACACCTATTCGAATCTGAACGAATTCAGTGCCTGTCTGGCCAGTCAGCCTACATGGTACCTGAGTTCACAAGTTTTGTTGGTCTTGTAGGACCTCATGATCACAAGGCTTTAAATATAGGCAGCACTTTCTTTTTCCATATTAAGATGAGTTATATTAATGTTTACATTCTGTCATGATTCTGGTCCATAAAACAGAAAACAAGAATTATTTTCAAACAATTTAACAACAGTTAATTGTTAGGAGTGGAAACCTATTGATAGATTCATTTCAGTGATATTTGAAATGTTATGTAGAAAATTCACTTTAAAGCCAAAGTTGGTTTTTTCATATCTCAGTTTTAAAACCCCTACATGTATGTAGAACTGTAACGTGCAGCCAGGCACCCATCAAGCCTCTGAGCAAGCTCAACGTTGCTGAACTAGTGCGCCTGTCCCAGGGTTAAAGCTAGCCTGTCAGTATTTCCCACTCAAAATTCCTTGGCTGTTACCCAACAGAGATTTTGGCTAATTAGTAAATAAAAACAATTATTTCAAATCAAAACAAAAAATAACAATCACTTGTTTTATAATATCCCTTTTTGGCATGACACATTGTTTGGTTTTTGGCTAAAAAAATAGTTTTGTAATATACTGTCATAGACTCCGGATGGAAAATAACTTTTGTTGCCAATTTTGATGCTCTTTCTCAAATCCGAGAGAGAGAAAAGGGTCAAACAAAAATTGAAATCATGATGGCCTGAAATGTATTGTAAATGCATTAACTACCATTCAAATTATAACTATTCTCTTTTTCACCTTCTCTCCATTATCATTTCCCTCTCTCTTACATATTCACTCGGACATCAGTGTATACACAGGACTTCCATATGCCCATAGAGTATTTATACACCTATTGAAATATTTCTAAATTTCAAGAAAAGCGAAATTCTGTTAACTTCGAAATATCAAGCAAACCAACAAAAATGTCTGGCAGCTAACACAAATGAAGACAGTCCTTTTGATCCACCACACTTCGACCACCCTACCTAAAATGAACGAAACAGCTGATGGAGCTTTCGGGTTCCAGAAGCCCAAGTTTCAGGCAAATTCAGTAGACCAGCAATAAATTAAAGAACCTTACCCTGATCTTGTTACGTTTGTTGACTTATATAGCTTACATGTACCCTTGTCCCAACTGCCCTGTATACTTTTAGGTATCCAAGATGGGGTACTGGAACCACCTACACAGCACATGGAAAAGACTGTGTTGGCTTCACTACCTCAGCACAAAGGAAGACCTTGTTAGCAGCAGAGGAATTGCTTTATGCAAATTAATTATTACTGTAAAAGATGTGTAATTTATGCTCTAGTATATTTGTGAAGGGAAAAACATGTTTCGAGATAAATTGTATGTGAAAAGTTTGTTTGGTATATTTTACAAATGAATAAACACTAATTTAAGATGAATGTACAGAAAAATTGTCAACCTGAATATAAACTGTCATACCCCAGAAGTTTTCCTGTGATAAATCTTGTGGAAGAAGAGGAAGTTTGATTGTCGGAAATCCATGTCTAAAATTTCCCCCGTCTATTAATTTTGTAATATTTTTTTTTTAAAACACAAACACAAACACCCCTCCTTTATTCCATTATATACCAGCTACACTATGGTAAAAAGGTCTTCACCATAACCTTACTGGTACCGGTGGTATGAAATGGATAAAAATACACTTAAATCAATAAAATTACTTAAAATTCTCATTTTATAATCAAATTATTGAATCATAATAAGATCCTCAGGGCTTATATATGTATTCATATGCTTACGCAATACGAAAATAAGAACACAAGGAAATTTAATGTAGTCAATTGAAATTTTGATTACACACAACCATGCAGACAAAATCACTAACCAGACAGTTCAAAAAAGTATCTGTAGAAAAAAATAATTTCCTCTTATTGTTTCTGAGAGGCAATACATGAATGAAGAAAAACCGAGAAATGAAATATATAATAATTTGCTTACAAATGAGACAAAACAGAATGATCTCATTCATATTGCACTTATATTTAAGTAAGTAATTTATCTGAATGAACACTTCAACTCAATCGCTCTCTCTTTCACATAGGAATGACAATATTTCACTTTCAATTTTTTTGACATTTTAGTTCATTCTTCTTTTTATCACTGTTCCTCTTAATACCACAATTCTGCTTTATATCACTTTATATTATTAATGTTTTCAAAGAGCCGTGTTTAATATTTGAAAAGACATATAAAGTTAATGAGCAGACACCACTGGAACGTCCTTAACAGCAGTGTTGTGAGAGTCTACCTTTGAAGGGATGTTTTTGAACCTGCAAGTGTGATAAAAAAATACATATCAACATTATTCAATACAAAACCCTGGTTCAGAATGTTGTTTTTCCTAATAAATATACATTTACTGTGTGGTGCATATGTTTACTGTTTAGTACTTATATCTACTGTATATATGTTTATATTTACTGTTTAGTACTTATATCTACTGTTTTTATACTTATACTTACTGCTTAGTACTTATATCTACTGTATATATGTTTATATTTACTGCTTAGTACTTATATCTAGTGTATACATGTTTATACTTACTGCTTAGTACTTATATCTAATGTATATATGTTTATATTTACTGTTTAGTACTTATATCTAGTGTATACATGTTTATATTTACTGTTTAGTACTTATATCTACTGTATACATACTTATACTTACTGCTCAGTACTTATATCTACTGTATATATATGTTTATACTTACTGCTTAGTACTTATAGCTAGTCTATACATGTTTATATTTACTGTTTAGTACTTATATCTACTGTATATATGTTTATATTTACTGCTTAGTACTTATATCTACTGTATACATGTTTATATTTACTGTTTAATACTTATATCTACTGTATATATGTTTATACTTACTGCTTAGTACTTATATCTAGTGTATACATGTTTATATTTACTGTTTAGTACTTATATCTACTGTATATATGTTTATATTTACTGTTTAGTACTTATATCTACTGTATACATACTTATACTTACTGCTTAGTACTTATATCTACTGTATATATGTTTATACTTACTGCTTAGTACTTATAGCTAGTGTATACATGTTTATATTTACTGTTTAGTACTTATATCTACTGTTTTTATACTTATACTTACTGCTTAGTACTTATATCTACTGTATATATGTTTATACTTACTGCTTAGTAATTATAGCTAGTGTATACATGTTTATATTTACTGTTTAGTACTTACATCTACTGTATATATGTTTATATTTACTGCTTAGAACTTATATCTACTGTATACATGTTTATATTTACTGTTTAGTACTTATATTTACTGTATATATGTTTATATTTACTGTTTAGTACTTACATCTACTGTATATATGTTTATATTTACTGTTTAGTACTTATATCTACTGTATATATGTTTATATTAACTGTTTAGTACTTATATCTACTGTATACATGCTTATATTAACAGTTTAGTACTATACTTATATTAACTGTACATGTACTTATATTTACAATATAATATTTATATTTACTGACAACTAATTTTCACTTAAGTAACAAATATGCAAAATACATAAACAGAGTTATCTGAGAACATGGAACAGCTTGTAGTAAATGACAGTACAATTTAAACAACGGTGAACCAACACTGAACAGGCACAAACAAACAAATTGAATCAATGAATAATACAAATATTGGGGCTACCAGTCCTTTTACTTTATAAACATTTAGAAACTGAGACCATGACATATTCTTTTTAAAAGTTATTATTGTAACAAGTCATTTCTAAAGTTCAGAATTGAATTTTCCCATACTAATTTGTGGAAAAATCAAAAGATATTGTGAAAAGAGATTAAAAAAAATAAAAAATAAATAGACACGAGCCCGAAGAAATAAAATGAAAATATATGATATTAACCCAACTGACCTTTCCTATATTTTTCAGTCATTTTACCTAAAACACACATTCCTTTTTTGGGTCGTATGTAATATCAAATCTCCAAATAAGTTTGAAAATTACAGAATGTTCTAAAAAAAAATCAAAAAAATCTCCATGTTTAATCTCGGATAGACTTTTTTTCTTACCTTGTTAACTTAAACATTTCTTTTTCCTTCTTTGACATTCTCATTGACCCATCATCATCGCGTTGTTTGTCTGGGTTTGACTGAGTCGAGTAAGATGGTTCATAGTGTTTCTTTACTTTCCTGAAATAGACAAGATTATTATTATTATTTTCTTTTTTTTAAAGAACCATTTTCCTCAAAGTATGTCTTCTGCAGCTACTATTTTTATTATATTTTACATACAAGCGTATCACACATACAATTTCCTGTGTTCAATTGATATTTTTATGAGGTGTTGCATGCCCATAGATTAAGAATTCTATTATTTTAAGATGTTGCTTAGAGGTCTGACAGAATTAATTTATTCTTGATGTCTAAGTCAGAAGTATAGGTCTGTAACCTGCACCTACTCAAAGCACATCCAGGTTCAAATTCTGTGAAATTCTCTTGACTTCCTGACTGATCAGTGCTGGTTGTATAGAAAATAAACTTGAGGATGTATGCGTTTTTTATTAATCTGCGAGTTGTGATGGATTATCTCCCTTTAACAAGTTATTATCCAATAATTGAGCATATTCTAGTGTTATTCTCATTGTCATGACTGTCATTCTTGGGTAACATTTAAACAAGTCAAATATCATAATTCAACTTGGAATAAATATCATTAAAATATCAACATTCAAATGAATGTAGTTAGCGCCTGATAAGACAGCTCGTGCAAATTCCTCAAAATTGAATTGATTAATGTATATGCTAATTGTATTAATTGTATATCTATGTACTGTATTAGGCTCAAGCACTTTAGAGCGGCTTATGTTAGCAAGATAGGGTGCTATATCACATGTTGTATATTATTAATGTACAGCTTTGTTAGTGTTGAACAGTTTTTGGAAACAAAATGCATGTCAACAAAATAAAGTTGCAAATATCCTTAAAACAAATACATCATATGTAAATAAATCACAATAACTGAACTGTTACTAACTGTAAACAATCTGTAAATCGACATCTCTTATTTTAAACCTATAAATATTTCTAGGCTTTGCCAAAATTGATTATGTCAGATTGGTTGATAATTATGCGAGCGAGTACATACTCAGATCGTCTGTTGCCAATCTGTTTGCCGATTGTTGTTCTATACTCCGTGTTGATTGGTTCTTTGTCTATCTGTGCGTCGGCCGCTACCATCGCACGATGTTTATCCCTGACCTTGTCCTGTTGTGACTGCCACTTGGTGATGCGATCCTGCCACTCTCGATCGTACGCAAACGACAACAACTTGGACATTTTTGCTTTGTCCTTTTCCTCATCAGGTCTAAAAATGTATTAGACAAAAAAAGCAAATAATATACCTTTTAGTAACTGAAACATACATTTTTTTCGGTAGCTTGAGGATTGCCGCAAGACTTGAAAACATTAGCGAGCAATAATCAACTACAATGTATATTTACCAGTTGATTTTGTATGTCTGTATATTTGAACAATACACAGTCATCTTAGCATTGAACTATACATGTATATTTGGTATAAGCAGCTAGAAGACCATAAATGTCACTCTTTAAAAATTGTCATATCATATCAAATATTAATATATTAGAGTATAATAATTTATACATTTATTGCCCCTAGAGAAACCCAATTCTTTGTTTTTCTGATATTAACTATGTTTCATGAGGGGAAAGCCCGAGTAAAGTTAAACATGATTAATCAAGGAGTTTCCCTACCACCAGAGCAGCAAACAGTGTATTATGCCAAAATAAAACAGAAATCAAATCGTAAAGATGATCAGGTTGATGTGTTATTGTTGTCTTCTGCTTAAATCATTCTTAACTCGTTTGTGGTAGCTCTTGCATATTTTTCTAGAGAGGCCCTGAATGTGGGAAATTTGATCAGAACACTGGAGTGATCCTGCCATGTGATCAAAATCATCCAATCAGACACCTTGTTATAATGATGAGGTACAATAAATAATACCTCAGCTGATTAAAGAAGTTATTTTTGATTTACTGTTTTTGCAAGGGAAAAAATATATTCGACCTTTTTAGATGTGTATATTTATATTAAATTACACTTCAAGCCGAAATATGTATATCATATAGGTGTCCAAGTTTTTCTTGCACATTTTATCAATTCTAGTATTTTAAAAATTATGCTTTGAATGAAGAATGAGTTAGATACCTTATTACACTTGTAATTGATATCTTAACAAATCATAAAAAATGATGTCATCCAAAAAATTCATAAAATCAGGAAAAAATAAAAAAATGAAAACTTTGCTGGACTCTTTAAAACTGAAATTTCAAAGTGAAGGAAATGATGAAAGCCCTTTTTGTTTTAATTTTCACCATGGAACCTCATTAATCTGATTTGATTCAAAATATGATTTCTTAAAACTAATAAATCATTTTTAATAAAATACAGTAAAAAATAATCTTTTGTGTCTTTCAAATATTGTAAATTATTAAAAAGATAACTTTCGTACGGAGTACAGAGTTTAAATTAAAAAAAAAAACTAAAAAAATAATATTAATCATAATATATACATACAAAGGCAGATATTTCAGATGTGGTTTTTCTCGCTCCAGTTGTGATACTTTGGCTGCTTCAGAGGGTTTTGTGCGTTCCTGTGGATGAGACTTCACTCTTGGAGGTTTAGCTATCCTCACCCCGTACCCAGACCTCTTGACCTCGGGTAGTTTGAGAGTCTTATCCTTCAAGCTGTTGCCTTCTCTGTCATATGCAGAGAGTTTATCAAATGCGTATGGTGTGCGTCCTACCTTCATGCAGTTATCATCATTGGAGGGCTGGTGTACATCATGTGCCATATATTCTGGGACGCGGAACTCATATTTACTGCAAAAAAAATGCATTTGAATACTCACATCTACTGTAAAATTCAATAGATCTGAAATTTGTATTTATTTTCTCTATGAAATGGTTGCAAACTTTGCATGAATTTATTTATTAAACTCAAATTTATATGAAAGCACACACAAAACTAATTGTAAGTGTTAATTTATCGGATGCGAATCTCGTATATATATAGAGGTTTTACATGTCTACTTCAAAACTGTTGCATAAAGCTCAGTCGACTCCAATCTAAACCCTTCGAGCTTTCGAGCATGTTTTTTTTATTTTCATAAAATGACACAAACATTATTTAAGAATGTAGTTATTATGAGTAAATTTAATTTATCAAGATAATCAACATACAAAAGTAAAAGACTGCTTATAAGATAAATTGAGCAAGAAAGAATAATTATAATCTGCAGATAAAAAAAAGAAAATTTCTACGTATATATTATATATAAACCTCACAAATTTAACATTTAATTTAAAAAAGATGCAAAATTCATACAATAAGGTAAGTTCATGATATATAAGGAGTCAATAAAAATGAATAATGCTTATTTCAGAATTTTACTTTTTGTCCTTGATTGGAAATTTAGAATACCTACAGATGTAGCTCCAGTTTGGAATTTCAATCTTTTTGCAAAATTACTAGTCTGTTTTAATTTGTTATCAATCTAATCGGTAAAGAATCAGCCATATTCGCTTTAGTTTCTTTCATGTGAATCCCTAAACACAGTTTTTGTATCCAACATATAAACCAGGTGGGTCAGTACTTTAGAGCTCCTACTGTATCTCAGTAAATCCCTCTGTTGTTGTATATATGTATGCTGATTTTGCCTATGAGAGGGGGAAATGGAAAAGCTCAAGCTGTACTGGGTAAGGTGGCCATCTTTCTTTTATTGCATCTAATACAACTAAAAGAAAAAAAAACTGAATCCGGCAAGACTAAAACCGGAATCAGGTATAAAGTAATTTTAACAATTTGGCGCAGTAAATATATTTTGAAATTTACCAATGTATTTCTCACAACTAGTATACCAATACAGAACATCCACGCCGCTTCAAAATTGCACAGAGTGCAACTCAGGTCGTGTGAAAAGCATCATTTTTTTTCTCTTAAATTCAAAACTAAATTAATAGCTGACTTACCTTGTGTCAGGTTCCGTGGCAGCGTCCTCTATAGCGTTGTCCTCCAGATAGAACCATTCTGACCGCGGGTATCCTACGTAGGGTTTCTCAGACATTTTTGGATTTTCTTTGAATTGAAGTAAATCTGACAGAAAGATATGAAAAAAAAATATAATACAAAATAAGGCTAACAAATTTTACTTTAACTTAATTGTTTTTAAAAGGGCAAAATAGGATGAAGAAATGGATATATATGAGTCTGATCTAGAACAGCCAGAATTTCAACCTCTATAAAGCAATGTGTTAACGAGAGCAAATAGCTTAATTTTTAATTTCAGAATCTGAGTGAAAAAAGTAACAACTATTACAATGACAAAAATGTTACTGCATCAAAGCAATGGGAGATTAATAAATAGCATTACCATAATTTATGATGACATCACAATCTCAGTTGATCTACCACAGTGTGAGAGGTATCAGTTTTATCAAGTTGACGGAATCAAATATCTCACTGGCAATACTGTAATAAAACTTACTCTGTCTGCCACCTTGTTTGGCAAGTCGTATATATTTTGTGTCTGTGTCACGGAAGAGAGGCCTTATAGGGTCACCCATCATTTCACCCTCCATAGGGTCGTTGAGTCCTGGGATCTGAGAGGTAGGCGGCACTCTCACAGGCTCCACATTCTTCCTCCTAGCGGGGGCATGGTAGAACCAGCCTAAAGTAAAGCAATCATGGAATTGTTTAAATATGTTTTATAACAGGAAAGAGATTAGCGTGCTTAATTCCACCGGGGATCACGGCCGCGATTCTCAGCTTCGATCTTAGTCCAATGTTCTACCACTGAGCTAAAGAGAAATTCCCTCTAGTGCGAAGCTAGATGGAGACAACAACCCTATGTAACATTGAAATCAGCCACACTTATGAAAAGCTACACTACTTAGGCCTATATGCATGTGGACTGAGCAGAAACATTTTGTTGAAATCCAGGTAAATCAAGGAGGAGATACAGTGATATATACCCGACAAATAACTTTAATCTGGAAATAAACAGTAATTCAAGCAAACAACTAGGAGACGAATCACATCATACAAAATGTTATGAACAAACGGTTGCAGGGTGATGAGAAAACAGAAAGTTAATTAACGTTATCAGGTTATACCTCTCTGTGCTATCTACATGGAATACACTTATACTTACCGGCATCCTTTATTTTCCTTGCTGCTGATGTCATACCGCTGGAGTGTACAATGAACTCTGTAGGCCTATATATATATAACGATATCTTCTAGACCTAAACAAACTGTACATGAAAAGGGGTTCGTGTGTACATGCTACCATGGAAACGACGTCACAGATAGTTGTTTCGTATCTCCAAGGTGCTGATCAATATATTGTGATATTTAAATCTTTCTAACATAATTTCTTCATCTTTTAAGAGAAAATAGTTTAAAATAATGGTTATTTTTGACAGTAATTATTATTAACACATAAGTAATCTTTATCTACGAAACTAAATGTAAACTTGAACTTCCGGTTAAATCTACTTTCGTTTTCGCCTGACAGCTACTTCGCCACATGGTCACTCGCGGACACATATCGAAATGGTGCCTGCTTATTTTCCTTCTAGTTGTAAATGTTTCCACAGATAACGAAAGTTGTGATACAGATAACTGCAGATCTGACGAAAGGGGCATGACTTCTCAAGCAGTGGTGCTATATGATGAAAAGCTGGTATCCCCATTTCACAAAGCCAGCCGAACATTTTCTTTTGTCGGCAAGGAATTGGTCATCAAACAAGACTGGAAGAGGTTGGGGATAGCAGCTGTCGTTTGGGATGCAGTAAGTCGGTCTAGTAGGGGGTCAAATTACCACCGAGCAAAATGATGATTACTGGTAGGTTTGATAAAGATTTGACAGATACAGATACAGAATACAGAAGCTTTATTTTACGTCGAATATTATAAACATACAACATAAGCTACGAAGAGCTTGTATGTCGACAAACACATGTACGATGCTTTTATTTTGCTGTCGCCAGATGCATTTGGGTTTCAAAACTTCACTTGTAAATTTCATGAAGAAAACACTATCGTTTTGTCATGTATATATAGCACTTCAATATCAGAATATGGAGTTACTCCACCACTCTCACTAGTCTAGTCAGTTTCCCAAGCTGAGGGGTGTTTAGTATTGTTTTACGGTCCATCGACAGTTCGAGTCATTTAGGGCCAAACAATACTGTAAAAATAGACATTAACAAAAAAATAATACATAAAAAAAAGAAACAAAGGGTTAAAATGTGTTAAGATGTCTAAAACCTGTTCGCACCAAGGTTGTTTCGCCCTAAATATTTTTTATTTTATTTATATACGCTAATATAATAATTAATATCTAAATATATCAACTAAAGTTATTAAGAATAGGTGTCAATCGCAACAAGCTCTGGATAAGTTGAATTTTCTTTATTAGGGTATACATATGTCTACCGGTATTTTCCTGGATCAATGGTGTAACTAAAGTTATTGATGACTTTATAGTCTCTACATTGGTGTTAGGTATATTTCATGTAGAGTATGTGAGAGCAGAGTCGGCTTTTCACAGCTGCTGTTTGTTACACTTGCTAAAAAAACAAGACAAACATATTTTTTTTATGAAATTGATTTTAATGATATGGAAGACTAAGAAGACTTAATTTGTGACTTCAAGTCACTTAAAACAACTCAAATTGAAAGAAAATACCCAACAATGTTTCGCCCTAATATATATTTTTTAAGGCGAAACAACCTAGCGCGAATCAACCCAGGGTGAACGGGATTTTGGGCGAAACAACCTGGAGCCATAGAATATATCATATTATATTATTGAGATTAATTGAATGTAAATAATGATAGATGCATTACACATAAACTGTATCCATAAACGTTTCATAGAGAGTACATCATAAATCTATAATAAGACTAATTAGACTACAGGTGCATTAAATTGTGCAGATTTGAAACTTTGTATTATGTTGCTGTATTTGATGTATGCTCTTACCTGTTAACCTGTCCTACCTTGACAGGCAATTGTTCTGTGTGAGTACCTAGAAAAGAATAAGGAGCTTGTCAGTGGTAAAACAATTATAGAGCTTGGAGCCGGATCTGGGATCGTTGGGATAGTCGCTGCACTACTTGGTAAGTAGCGATGGGAAAAGGTGTAATTAAGGATCTACAATATTCACCTTTATCTAAGATGGCATGAAGACAATACATGTACAGTTACACGTATGGGTGAAGGTCCTGATCACCTTTATCTAAGATGGCATGAAGACAATACATGTCCAGTTACACGTATGGGTGAAGGTCCTGATCACCTTTATCTAAGATGGCATGAAGACAATACATGTCCAGTTACACGTATGGGTGAAGGTCCTGATCACCTTTATCTAAGATGGCATGAAGACAATACATGTCCAGTTACACGTATGGGTGAAGGTCCTGATCACCTTTATCTAAGATGGCATGAAGACAATACATGTCCAGTTACACGTATGGGTGAAGGTCCTGATCACCTTTATCTAAGATGGCATGAAGACAATACATGTCCAGTTACACGTATGGGTGAAGGTCCTGATCACCTTTATCTAAGATGGCATGAAGACAATACATGTCCAGTTACACGTATGGGTGAAGGTCCTGATCACCTTTATCTAAGATGGCATGAAGACAATACATGTCCAGTTACACGTATGGGTGAAGGTCCTGATCACCTTTATCTAAGATGGCATGAAGACAATACATGTCCAGTTACACGTATGGGTGAAGGTCCTGATCACCTTTATCTAAGATGGCATGAAGACAATACATGTCCAGTTACACGTATGGGTGAAGGTCCTGATCACCTTTATCTAAGATGGCATGAAGACAATACATGTCCAGTTACACGTATGGGTGAAGGTCCTGATCACCTTTATCTAAGATGGCATGAAGACAATACATGTCCAGTTACACGTATGGGTGAAGGTCCTGATCACCTTTATCTAAGATGGCATGAAGACAATACATGTCCAGTTACACGTATGGGTGAAGGTCCTGATCACCTTTATCTAAGATGGCATGAAGACAATACATGTCCAGTTACACGTATGGGTGAAGGTCCTGATCACCTTTATCTAAGATGGCATGAAGACAATACATGTCCAGTTACACGTATGGGTGAAGGTCCTGATCACCTTTATCTAAGATGGCATGAAGACAATACATGTCCAGTTACACGTATGGGTGAAGGTCCTGATCACCTTTATCTAAGATGGCATGAAGACAATACATGTCCAGTTACACGTATGGGTGAAGGTCCTGATCACCTTTATCTAAGATGGCATGAAGACAATACATGTCCAGTTACACGTATGGGTGAAGGTCCTGATCACCTTTATCTAAGATGGCATGAAGACAATACATGTCCAGTTACACGTATGGGTGAAGGTCCTGATCACCTTTATCTAAGATGGCATGAAGACAATACATGTCCAGTTACACGTATGGGTGAAGGTCCTGATCACCTTTATCTAAGATGGCATGAAGACAATACATGTCCAGTTACACGTATGGGTGAAGGTCCTGATCACCTTTATCTAAGATGGCATGAAGACAATACATGTCCAGTTACACGTATGGGTGAAGGTCCTGATCACCTTTATCTAAGATGGCATGAAGACAATACATGTCCAGTTACACGTATGGGTGAAGGTCCTGATCACCTTTATCTAAGATGGCATGAAGACAATACATGTCCAGTTACACGTATGGGTGAAGGTCCTGATCACCTTTATCTAAGATGGCATGAAGACAATACATGTCCAGTTACACGTATGGGTGAAGGTCCTGATCACCTTTATCTAAGATGGCATGAAGACAATACATGTCCAGTTACACGTATGGGTGAAGGTCCTGATCACCTTTATCTAAGATGGCATGAAGACAATACATGTCCAGTTACACGTATGGGTGAAGGTCCTGATCACCTTTATCTAAGATGGCATGAAGACAATACATGTCCAGTTACACGTATGGGTGAAGGTCCTGATCACCTTTATCTAAGATGGCATGAAGACAATACATGTCCAGTTACACGTATGGGTGAAGGTCCTGATCACCTTTATCTAAGATGGCATGAAGACAATACATGTCCAGTTACACGTATGGGTGAAGGTCCTGATCACCTTTATCTAAGATGGCATGAAGACAATACATGTCCAGTTACACGTATGGGTGAAGGTCCTGATCACCTTTATCTAAGATGGCATGAAGACAATACATGTCCAGTTACACGTATGGGTGAAGGTCCTGATCACCTTTATCTAAGATGGCATGAAGACAATACATGTCCAGTTACACGTATGGGTGAAGGTCCTGATCACCTTTATCTAAGATGGCATGAAGACAATACATGTCCAGTTACACGTATGGGTGAAGGTCCTGATCACCTTTATCTAAGATGGCATGAAGACAATACATGTCCAGTTACACGTATGGGTGAAGGTCCTGATCACCTTTATCTAAGATGGCATGAAGACAATACATGTCCAGTTACACGTATGGGTGAAGGTCCTGATCACCTTTATCTAAGATGGCATGAAGACAATACATGTCCAGTTACACGTATGGGTGAAGGTCCTGATCACCTTTATCTAAGATGGCATGAAGACAATACATGTCCAGTTACACGTATGGGTGAAGGTCCTGATCACCTTTATCTAAGATGGCATGAAGACAATACATGTCCAGTTACACGTATGGGTGAAGGTCCTGATCACCTTTATCTAAGATGGCATGAAGACAATACATGTCCAGTTACACGTATGGGTGAAGGTCCTGATCACCTTTATCTAAGATGGCATGAAGACAATACATGTCCAGTTACACGTATGGGTGAAGGTCCTGATCACCTTTATCTAAGATGGCATGAAGACAATACATGTCCAGTTACACGTATGGGTGAAGGTCCTGATCACCTTTATCTAAGATGGCATGAAGACAATACATGTCCAGTTACACGTATGGGTGAAGGTCCTGATCACCTTTATCTAAGATGGCATGAAGACAATACATGTCCAGTTACACGTATGGGTGAAGGTCCTGATCACCTTTATCTAAGATGGCATGAAGACAATACATGTCCAGTTACACGTATGGGTGAAGGTCCTGATCACCTTTATCTAAGATGGCATGAAGACAATACATGTCCAGTTACACGTATGGGTGAAGGTCCTGATCACCTTTATCTAAGATGGCATGAAGACAATACATGTCCAGTTACACGTATGGGTGAAGGTCCTGATCACCTTTATCTAAGATGGCATGAAGACAATACATGTCCAGTTACACGTATGGGTGAAGGTCCTGATCACCTTTATCTAAGATGGCATGAAGACAATACATGTCCAGTTACACGTATGGGTGAAGGTCCTGATCACCTTTATCTAAGATGGCATGAAGACAATACATGTCCAGTTACACGTATGGGTGAAGGTCCTGATCACCTTTATCTAAGATGGCATGAAGACAATACATGTCCAGTTACACGTATGGGTGAAGGTCCTGATCACCTTTATCTAAGATGGCATGAAGACAATACATGTCCAGTTACACGTATGGGTGAAGGTCCTGATCACCTTTATCTAAGATGGCATGAAGACAATACATGTCCAGTTACACGTATGGGTGAAGGTCCTGATCACCTTTATCTAAGATGGCATGAAGACAATACATGTCCAGTTACACGTATGGGTGAAGGTCCTGATCACCTTTTATCCAAAATATTCTCCCACTCTAGATGTGTCCCCCGTTTTACTGGGGAAAGATCATCTTGTCACCCCTAGGGGGAGAAAGCCTTGTGCCGATTAGCATGTGATCAATTGTGATGTCATTAAAATGTGCCACCAGTCATAATGAGGTCATCAAAAGTAAATGACGATATCCATACCCGATTTTATATGTGTTTCTATTTACAAACATGGCAGACTACTGTCGGTGGATTTGTGACTGAAATAATAGGATGGGAGAAAATGAATAATCCCTTACCTTGAGGGTGTGACAGAGAAATCTCCAACCCTCATGGTGATTTGTTTTGGTTGTCCAACCCTCGGTAGAGCCTCTGGTTAAAAAACCAAAAAGCATCACCCCTCAGGTTGGAGATTTCTCTGTCACACCCTCAAGGTAGGGGAAGATTCTGTTAATCTTGGGTGTTACTATTGAATGATCACTGTTGAGGAGCAACATGTTCATGAAAGATTTGCATTGGGTCTAGTGGTAACAGTGTAGTGAGTAAAAGAAGAGGAAGTAAGACGTTTTTAACAGCTAAATAGTCAAAGCGGATAATTTAGTAAGTGGGAAAAAAAATTGTACAATAGTTTCATGCAAGTTTATATGTGAAGGGGTACAATATGTTTCCTTGTCTCATTATAATCATATAATAGAGGATATTTTCATATAAATGTACATTTAGAAAACAGTGGTAAAATACTTTCAGTGGTAAAATAATTTCAGGATAGATCCTTTGAAATTAAGAAGTGGTAAAATAATTGAATGGGGTTGTTTCAGGAACATGGAAGTTTTGAATTGAAGTGGTAAAACTACTTATTTGAGAAAAGTGGTAGTGGTAAAATATTATATGTGGTAGACTTAATTCAGATTAAAAGTGATGATCGGGAATAGAAATGAAATACATGTACATGTAGATAAAAAAATTGTCTTGTGTTAATCAAATAATGTATTTAAATGTACGTGAACAAATAAAGATCGTTGTGGGTTTCAACAACACATTTGGCCCTTACAGTAATTTGGAGATGGTCAATTGTTTTAAAACAGGGTCAGTGGCTTCGAGATCCTTCCTAGAATTACCTCTGCATTTTTTGTAACATAATTCCATACACTGTTTCAAATATAAAATCTGCAGAAATGAAATAAAGAGATAATGCACAATATATTGTTTTGGCTATGCAGGTGGGAAAGTTACCATCACAGACCTTGACATAGCCCTAGAGTACATCAATGAAGTTGTGGATGAAAACCTGAGGGACCACCCTGGTATTGACGTACATGTTAAAAACCTTGATTGGACAAAGGACTGGTCAAAATTTACGGCAGACTATGATGTTGTATTAGGGGCAGACATTATCTACATTGAAGAGCTGTTCAATGATTTGTTGAAAACATTTTTACAAACATGTCATGAAAATACCCTGGTGCTTCTGTCATGGCGTTACAGATATGACAGAGACAATAAATATCTGGAAATGATGAGACAACATTTCACTTTAGACAAAATATTTTACAACTCTTCTCGTGATGTAACGATATACCTTGGAAAGCTCATAGTTAGGAATAAATCTGATGCTAAATGACACAGTGATGAGTATGATATATATTTTTATAGAACCATTTTAGGTCTCCTGAGACAAAGTCATACGTGACCTATTGCGATCGTCTTTTGTCCGTCGTCGTGCGTCCGTAAANCTGAAGTAAAGAAAATTTTCTGCTACAAAAAAGATATAGGTTGTCAGAATTTTAAGGATTTTAAATGGAATTTATGTAAAAAGGATTGAATTTTGAAAAACAATTGAAACACATTTATTTTGCAAAATAATTACACTAAAAATGATACTAACATAGATTAGTATGGCATTAATGTATATCAATTTCATAAATGCTGAAATTGTGAAAAATTAATCATCAATAAACGATTAAAAATTGACATTTTATAATAAAACCATATACACATAGTAATTGCATGCAAGAGATTTCTTGACCCTGGGGTCTCACGTTTCCTCCTGGTGAGGGGGTAAACTTTACTATAGTTTATATAGGGAAATCACATTTTGGACCAACATTTGTTTAATTTCCATTGGAAGTAATTCAATTTGGGTTAGCATTATCAGTATTAGGTAGCAGTTTGATAGTGTGCACATATGAGCCCTGACTGACCCCCAGGGGCTGATGGGTGGGGCCAAAAAGGGTTGAGTTGACTGAAATTTCAAAAATCTTCTTCTCAAGATCCAGATATGGTAGAATCAAATACTCTTCATAGATGGAAGGGTCTTAAGGTGCTTTCCAAAATTGTGAATTTCGTGACCCTGGGGTCTCACGTTTCGACCTGGGGAGGGGGTAAACTTTACTATAGTTTATATAGGGAAATCACATTTTGGACCAACATTTGTTTAATTTCCATTGGAAGTAATTCAATTTGGGTTAGCATTATCAGTATTAGGTAGCAGTTTGATAATAAGCACATATCAGCCCTGACTGACCCCCAGGGGCTGATGGGTGGGGCCAAAAAGGGT